AATAAACATAAATTAATAATTTTTAAAATTAAGTTAAGTTAAAGTTAGTTGCTTATAAAATTAATTTAGTTAAGTTAAAAGTTGCATGAACAAATAACTCCATTCAAGTTAAGTTAAGATTAAATTAACTCAAGTTAAATCAAAAGTTAATCAGATCAATCAAAATTAATATGGACGCTAGTGGTGAAAATAAACTTGGCAAAATTGATTTCGACGTAACTAGCAATTTTATTCAATACTTTCACAACGTTTTGACCATTTGGTTGTGGTCCTTATCAAGTGAGAATTGCTAGTTACGTCGAAATTAATTTTGCCAAGTTCAAAAGTTAATGTTTAAAAACATTTATATTAAATTAGATTTTGGTTGTTAATTCTTTAAAATTTATAACAAAAAAATTTTGATTTTTATATAAAAATATATTTTTTGATAATTACAATTGATGACAAATAAACATAAAAATTAGTTTCAGAAATAAATATTTTTATAAAAATTAGTACTTTAATTTAAATATAATAAGTTTATAACTTGTAAAAAAATAATAGTATTCAGAGATAAAAAAATTTAACTTAGGAAAAAAGTTACTAAGTTGAAGGTAAAAATAATTAGTTGAAGTTAAAAATTAATACATTTTAAATCAACTAAGCTAAGTGAAAAGTATTAACTTTTAAGATATTAACTTTTAACTAATTAACTAGTTATTACCCAACCCTGCTATATACACTAAATATATTATTTTGAAGAAATAGTAATACTTTTTTGTTTTAAAATGTCAAATGTCAAACTGTCAAAATGTCAAATGTCATGTTTGAAAGATAGTATTGAAATGTAGCGGTTTCTATTACTAAAAGTCAATAAGAGAGAGAAAGAGAAAAAGAGAATTTAGTTTATAATAAATGTAAAACATCTCAATACAGCGGTGATAATAGTTAACAGATAAAAAGATCGAATCTCTTCGATGAGAGAGTGAACGAGAGCGTAACGCGAGGAAAAATACACTGTTGTAGATTTCTACACCTTTTTACGATAATGAAATATAAAACAATTGATTTGGAAAGAAATGCGATCGGTTTATCGAGAAATTGCGATGAAAGCTTTGTTGTTGCCAGGAATATGTATAATAATTATATCTAATAATGCACAATAAACAAATGAATTACATACAGGATGTCTCTTTTTAAGCGATACAGTCGATTATCTTAAAAATGAGACATGTTTAAACAAAATGTTTTATATGAAAGTTGTCAGTAATGTTTCGAGGAGGACATAACATCGTGACCCAAAATTGCCTTTGAGTGGCGTTTTTCAATGTCATTTAGAGGTCAATATTTTTTTTTAATGAAACTATCCTATTCTTTTTACATATTTTGATTCTTTACAATATTCTGTATAAAAAGTTATAAAGATAAGATGACCAAAAAGTGAATTGTTTATAAGATAGTTTAGACTTTAATTTGGTATAATTTTACATGAACTATGAAACATCTCGTAAAATATTCATTTTCCAATGATATTACCTTAATACTTTGATGTACCAAATAATGAGAGAAATCGATTGGTGTGAAGAAAATTGAGTTATATTTAAAAAAAATATAGCTGCTGCATTGTATACTGTGTTTCTATAAATAAGCACGAAAAACTTTAGGAAATTATTTTTTGTTAAAAATTAAGGGAAGTTTTTCATATATATGAATATAAACCTTAATATAAACATATACTCCTCCCTATATTTCTCTCTAAGAAGTTATACTCCTCCAAAGCGGAAGGTGAAAATTAGGTTTTTAATTTTTTTCTCAAATTTTGGTTCAGTTAAAAAAATGAAATTTTGTGGTTATTTTTCACTAATAAAAAGGATATTTATTAATATTTTTAAATGTTCCCGTATTGTTTTAAGGAGATAAATGTAAAAACCCCTTAATTTTTTTAAAATTTTTAAAGGAGCGCGAAATGTAATTATTTAAAAACATGCGGTAGAAAAAAGTTTCTTTAAAAACTTTTTATTTCTTTTTTCGTAAAATTAATATTTTTCAAGAAAAAAATTAAATCTTTTAATTTTTATATGAAAAACTCCTTAATTTTCAACAAAGAATTATCTCCTAAAATTTTTCGCACTTATTTAGAAACATTCTGTGTATATATGTGTATTATTATACACATATATATATATATATATATTTTTATTTATTACACCTAATATATAAAGAGAGTAAATTTTCCTGCATTATTCCTATATATAAAAATATGTTTATTCTATATATATATATATATATATATATATATATATATATATTATATATAAAATTAACAATAAGAAGCATATGCACATAAGTTTTCTTCTGATAAAAATAAAGCTAAATGCGCGATAATATGAGGATGTAAATGCTTAATGCACAAACGGCTAAAACCGGGGTTCCTCGGAGCTTCTTATGCAAACAACGAGGCCTTTATTTCATACCGCGTCAGTTAATTGCATCGGTGCGTATAATTGCGTATCTTCCCGTAAAATGCAACGCGGCCGTAAAAAGCCCGATTAAACAACGAGCCGATTCTTTCGCCGTATCGTGCTTTCATAAATTGCGAAATCCTTTCGCGAGATGAAACGTAAAAACTCAAGGTGACTTTGCTTTTATGTTATTTTACAGAGCGATCGATACATTTTTAGTTACAGCATAATGCGACATGCAATAAATAATTAAGATATTAAACATGTATTATAAATATACAAATTGTACATTCTATATATTTTTTAAACATATGTATTGCACATTAAAATAATCAATAGAAAGAAATATCAAATTTTATATATAATTGCGTAAGTGAATAGATTATATTATTAAGAAACACAATTTAAATAAATAAATAGAAAGAAGCAAAAAGAGAGAAATTATTAAAAACTATATAATTACATAAATAAAATTAAAGATTGAACAGAGAAAGTTCTTCCTTTTTTCCGAGGAAATAAATTTTCAAAAACACTTATTTTTTATTATAAATCCTTTAATCGTCCGACAAACTACTAGTCGACCGAATTGCTAGCATTTGTAACCCATATCTTCGTTGATGCGAAGCGACACATACTCTCGGTATTATGCAAATAATGCTGAAATAAAACACCAAGAATAGATCGTGTTTAAACCAAGTAGAGGAGTAGAGTAGCTTGTTGCTGGAATTTGCTGTATACAATTTGTATGTAAAGTATTCAATACTTTATGACAATATTGATAGAATATTTTATGTAAACTGCTTTAATTAGTGATAATTTTTTAAATTTGGATTATAATAAAAAATTTTTTCTTTCAATAATTAAAAATTTCTAAATATAATTAAATATATATGTATATGTATATACAAATAATGTATATTATTCAATTTAAAATACATAGATATTTTTTCGCACTCAAATTACATAAATATTTATATTTTTCGTGATATACGAAATGAAATGCTAAACAATAATAAATATATACATAATAGTAATAAACTAAACAGTTATTGTAAAATAATCTAACAAGACTTTTATCAGAATTTTTTTCGAGCTCTCTTATCAATGCGACTCGTTGATGGATATCGTCGAAACATGGCGGTCGGAATTAAACACTCTCGCATGATGGATGCGCGGTCCATCTAATGATTCGGATTGCAGATGATTAATCGGCACCATTACTCTCTTACCTTCGCATCCGCGAAAATTTATCTTTATATGAATATTATGTTTTATATTATATATTTATAAATTTATATTACATTTTTATTTTATTTATAGATTTATATTATACTTTATATATCATATTTTATGGATTTGCAGTTTCTATATGCTTGTTTCTCATAATTGAAAAAAATATTTTTATTTTTTTATTATATACTGAAAGATTTATTATTTATTTATTTATTTTTATTTATGAAATAATTGCGATAATGTTATCAATATTTTTGCGATAAATAGCAATATGTCATTTTTGAGATTTTTACTTTTCCGAAAGAGTGTCTACTACACTAGTCTACAGCCAAAAATTATTTTAAACCAGACAAAGTGTTCTTTATAGATTTTTGAATGCTGAAAACCAAATTTCATTAGCGCGTTAGATTTCCAAAATAATTCTTTAAGATTTTTAGATTAATTACGGATTAATTTATAATAAGATCGATGATTTACAGGGTTGGGTAATAACCAATTAATTAGTTAAAAGTTAAGAAAAAATTAAAAATTAATAACTTTTAACTTAGTTTTTATTTTAAAATGTAGTAATTTTTAATTTCAACTAATTATTTTTGACCTTAAACTTAGTAACTTTTTTTAAGTTAAATTTTTTTTCTCTATAAATACCGTTATTGTTTTTTTTTATAAATTATAAACGTTTTATTTTTAAATTAAAATGTTATTAATTTTTATATTCATTTATCAATCAATTGTAATTACCAAAAAATATATTTTTATATAGAAATCAAAATCTTTGTTATTTGTTATTGTAAATTTTAAAAGAATTAACAAACAAAATTCTAATTTAATACAAATGTTTTTAAAAATTAACTGTTGATATAACTTCAGTTCAGTTAATTTAATCTTAACTTTAATTGAATTAATTTTTGTTCATGCAACTTTTAACTTAACTAAATTAATTTTATAAACAATTAACTTTAATTTAACTTAGTTGTAAAAAAATTATTAAGTTACCCAACTCTAGGGTACATCTTGTCTGGTTTAAAATAATAAAAAAAATATTTTTGTAACCCAGTGTTATTATTAAATAGACATGCATAAATTGACGTAAATTTAACTTACAAGAAGATATTTTCGAGCTTTTATTCATATGTACATATCATGTATTCACGCACATATCATGTATATACGCGCACATACAACTTAATGTTTTATAACTTGTGCCAAATAAAATAATGACACAGTTTAGTAGCTGTTGTTTCGCATTTATTTACGATTATGGTCTTGTTTTGCAGATGACTAATAAGCGTGCGACTAATCGATGTGTGAATTAACTCTAACCTAACAGTATGTAACGTCATCGCGATGATTCGACCAATCATGGAGGAGAGAACGTTAAGAGGAATAGGTGAGTTGTTTTTTAAATATCAATTATTCTGTCTACTATTTGTTATCTTGTATATCTTGTTTGCGTCTTTGTATGTATTATAAAAATAATTGCGCATAAAAATGGAATCTTATAATTACAACTTTATTCGATTCTGCAAGTTTCTTATACAACATTGAATGACGCATTCAAATTCTAGGAATATAGAATTTAGATCCTGAATTCTCTATTGCAAATTATAGCAATTGTTATTTTATTAATAATTATTGCAATTTTATATTAATAGTTATTGCAATTTTATGTACATTACTTGAAATAGATTTTTGATTCGCTAATATTTTAATCAAAGTAAAATTTTCATTTGAGAAAAAAAATATTATCATAGAGAAAGAAAATTAAAGGGCGAAATTTATTTTAGGCTTTGGGGTTCTAACTAAACATTCAAAATAAAACATTTTTATTCATAGAGATATTTACTGCTTCCTATTATATCAGCAAATCTGAAAAATATCGTTATTGATATTTCTCTGCACTACAATTTTTATTTAATACTCTTTCACACTTTTTTTTCACAATGATCTTTTTTAAGCACGAACAAAAATTATAAGCTTAGAAATTTATTTTCAAATCCGATATATTAATTAAAAAGATAAAAATATGATAAAAATTGAGATAAGAGGTAAAAATAAGACTGAAACGGATTTAGATATCTATACAAATATGAAAATAAATTACATAATAATATTGCTTAAAAAGGTACTTCACTTTTTGTATTATCAATTTCTTTGAATTATTCAATTAGGTTAAAACAGAAAAAGAACTTTAGAACTGGAAGAATTTTTGCAACAGCAAAGCACTAGCTAGAATCTTTTGAATAAAACAAACTAAATTAAAATTAGATTTATATTCTGATTTCTTTTAAGCACAAACAAAATTATAAGCTGAGAAATTTATTTTTAAATCCGATATATCAATTAAAAAGATAAAAATATGATAACAATTGTGAGATAAAAACAAGAATGAAACGGATTTAGATATCTACAAATAAGAAAATAAATTACATAATAATATGGCTTAAAAGGTACTTCACTTTTTGTATTATCAATTTCTTTGAATTATTCAATTAGGTCAAAACAGAAAGAGAACTTTAGAACTGGAAGAATTTTTGAAACAGCAAAACACTAGCTAGAAACTTTTAAATAAACTAACTTAATTAAAATAGATTTATTTCTGATAAAATATTGTAAAGTAATTCATGAGAAACAGATATGTATATATTATTGATTGAGAAAAATTTATATAAATATTTTCTTTGATTTTTTTCTATTATATATTTTTATTATCAACATTTTCTTTTGCTCTACACGGTAAAAATATTATAATAAAATTATAATAAAATTATATTATATGTGCAACAACTAAGTTATAACAAAAATTACAATATCCTTAAATATTACAATGTTTTAATAATTAAATAATGTTATCTGTATAATATGTTACAATACTTATATAATATATATATATATAATTATATGTAAGTATTGTAACTATTGATAAGTATTTTTTAAATATTTTGATTGCACAAACAAACATATAATTAACAATTAATAAACAATAAAACCAAAGATAAATAATAATTTGCAATTTTATAACTTTTATAATAATAAATATCCTATGAAATCGTTATACTTTTTAACTTTAAATAATAAATATTATAAAGGGAAATATATTTTTTCATGACTTGTTTATTGTAAACATTATTTTTGGGTTTAATTGATTAATTTTTCATATGTCTAGTATATTTATTATACTTTAGTAAATGTATGTATGTGTGTGTTTCTATTATTTATAAGATTTATAATTTTTTCTCCGACCAATCGCTTATTATCATTTTGTTGTGTTTTCAATTTGTTTGATTATTTTCACTCTACGGAAGTGGCAAAACGGCACTCTCACTTTTTCTTTTTTCTTTAAAGCTGAGAGATAATTCATATCTCGAGAATGTGTTATTTGACTTTGAGAGAGGACGAACATGAGATAGGTGCAATCGGATGCTGGAAAGAAAAAAAATACAACGTGCTCCTTATCAGTAGTTATACACGCTGTTAAGCGGTTTTCTTAAGGAAATCCGTAAGGCTGGAGCCTTTTCTCACGTCACCGTAATTACAGAAAAATGCTTCGCGTGCAAGTCTCTTTGGAGATTTAAAAAACTTGTTTTTTATATTTTCATATATAAAAGAGAGAGAATAAAACTAGTAGTATAAAATACGATATTTTTTATATGATAATAAAATAATAATATTTAATATATACATATAATAATAATAATAAAACGAAAAGGCTCTATGATAAATAAATACAAAATCAGATCAAGAAAAAAAGGTTAATAAAAACCAGATATAAAAATATTAAGCTTAATTTTTTTTTAAATGTTCTTTATTTAATTTGTATTAAATTAATTGTGAGAAATTATAAACAAAAGATTTTTTAAACAAGTTTGCGTATAATTTCTGCTTATTACTCTATATTTCTTATCTAAAAATAACATAATTAATACAGAATAATAATATTAAAACAATAATAATAATATAAATATGTATATATGTCATACAATAATATGAACAATTGTGTAATAGAAAAATTTCAAGTATAAATATATATTATATATATACTTGAAATTTTTCTATTACACAATTGTTATATATATATATATATATATTTTAATGATATAAATTTGAAAATAAATGTTAAATTTGTTATCTACATATGTATATACATATATAATATGTATATATATCTGTCGCGCGTATTTAATTTTATTAATTTATTCTTTCTAATATTTTTGCAATGTTTTGCTAATATTTTTCTTGTCGATCTAAATGTATATAAAATAAAATAAATAAAATGGAATAATATATATATATAAATAAAATATAAAATTAAAAAACTAATATAATAAAATATAAATAATAAAACCGGTTAGTTACAAAATAAAGAATTTTTTCTTTTTCAAAAATCTATATTTTTTATGCGTTATATATTTCTTATAAAAATACATTATTTTTATTTCTCAATTTTCACGATAGTCATCCTTGTTCTTATTAAATTTTGCTGCGCTTAATTACTCTTAATTATAATCGACGATAATCTTTCGCCTTCGTCATTTCTCTGATGCATCATCGATTTTTCTCTTCGTCTCTGGGAGTCTATAATTCTATGAAATAAAGAAAGGTTCCTTGAAATTTGAAGCTATAGATGATGATGTGTTTCTGTGCTCGCGCTGGTGTTTCAATGAAACTATACTATAGACTCTTATGGAATTGATATGTGCTTTCTTTTTCATTCTCCACCTTCTTTTGCCATTACACCAACGCAGAATCAGAGATAAATCCGAATCCTTTTCCACCTTTGCCGCAACATACGTTAAAAGGACATAAGTCTCGCGAGATATCCTTTGTCCCACGCGTTCTCGCTTTTCTTTTTCCCGTTCCTTTTTTATTCTTTTTTGAGCGCGCAAAGCAAAAATTGCACATTGATTCAATTAATATGAAAAGATATATCTGCTTAAATTTTTTTCTTATTTTAGATAACATGTGTAAATATAATCTACCAATTATCAAAGTAAATAATCCAAGAGGAAGACAAGGAATAAATGTATTTTATCAATTTAAAAGATTAGTTTTTTTAATGCACTATAAATTTATCATCACTAAACATTGATATGCACATACATATCTATATATACAAAGTTAATATTACTCTGTGATTTTATATCATATTGATCTCGAAATCGAGAGAATGTCGTATTATTATTGTCGAATAATATAATTATTAATTTTGTTGTGTATTCGGTATTGTTTTATATATTGTGTAATTTATTGTTTAACTTCGAGCATTCTATAAATAAGTCTCATTTTGCACATACACATACCACATATGATATGAATTTATTAATATATACTTTTATATTATATATATGTATATAAAATATTATATATAATATATATATGTATATATATTGTCATTATATTATACACGAGTGTTTCTTATTTTAAGTGTTGTCGACTATCTAAAAATAATACATTTTTGAGCAAAAAATTATAGATTAGGTTAGCTTAGGTTGATGATTTTTTAAAACTCAGTTAAGTTAAAGTTAGTTTTAAAGTATAAAATTAATTTAGTTGAGTTTAAAATTGCATGAACAAAAAATTAACAATCAGTTAAAGTTAAGCTAAGATTAAATTAACTGCGAATTTAAATCAAAAGTAATTTTTATAAACATTTATTATTAAATTAAAATTTTATTTGTTAATTCTTTTATAATAACAAATGACAAAGAAATTTTGATTTTTATATAGAAATATATTTTTTAGTAATTACAATATTGATGACAAATGAACATAAAAACTAATAATACTTTAATTTAAAAATGATACGTTTATAACTTATAAAAAAACAATAATATATGATATTCAGAGATAAAAAAGTTAATAAATTTAAGGTCAAAAACTATAGGTCAATAACTATAGTTGAAGTTAAAAATTGATACATTTTAAATTAACTAAGCTAAGTTAATGGTTATTAGGTTAGAATAAAAGAGAAACACCCTGTATATTATTATTGGTTACGTACTACTACGAATTTATTATTACGCGTCTGATGATTAATATCTATGAAGGTGTCATACATATCATTATTCTTCTCAAATCAATGTGTCATATATTAGCCGGTTTACGATCCCTGATCATTCCGATTGCAATCACTTGCAATGTGACTAATGCGCATGTCTTAAACGTGCAACTTAAATGACGACACGGCACAAAGCTTAACTTCTTGCACAACCCGCGCAATGCACACGTGCTCACGCATAAGAATTCATTATTCTTCCGTTCGTGTGCGTATATATAAGCGCAGGCATTTAGACTGCATCGGTATATTGTATATGTGCATCTCAGGAGAGGATGCATGTTCGCGAAGACGATTTCATCGACGCGCAATAACGCATATATTCGCGTTGCATC